TCTCAAATAAATAAATAAAATCTTAAAAAAAAAAAAAAAGGTGACTTGCTCAAGGTCACTTTTGAAATTAGCAAGTGGCAAAGCTGATATCTGAACCTAGATTCTGACTCTTAACCGCTCTCCTACATTCTCAACTCTTAACTACTAAAGATACTGCCTCCCTTCAGAGAAGGTAGGAAATAAAAACCCATAGGAATTTTCTTTTTGTATTTTTTCTATTGTTTGTATTGTCCTCAGTGTTATCTGAGGTTTGCTTGGAACCCAAGTAAGACAAACTGTTCCTGATAAAATATATTAGCTGGCAGTGAATAGGGCAGAGACCGAAGAAAGGAGTTAAGTTAAAGGTAAAATATTTGCTGACACCAGCCTAACGTATTTAAGTTACTGCCAAGAAATTCTTGTTCTAAAGGATACATATGGGGCGCCTCAGTGGCTCAGTTGTTAAGTGTCTGCCTTTGGCTCAGGTCATGATCCCAGGGTCCTGGGACTGAACCCCGCATCAGGCTCCCTGCTCAGCAGGAGGCCTGCTTCTCCCTCTCCCACTCCCCCTGCTTGTGTTCCCTCTCTCGCTGTTTCTCTGTCAAATAAATAAATAAAATCTTTAAAAAATAAATAGATAAATAAAGGCTACATATAAGTCAGCCAGAGACATTTTAGTGCTGCCCACCAATAAAATAAAAATAATGGCTCTGGGCTGTGGTATCCATACATAACAAGGCACATGTTTATTCAAAGTATCTATGTGCCAGGCTCCTAATTCATGTATCACGAAATCTCTGTTTCAAATGACGAAATTCACAAGGGTATGGACTTTCTAAAATAATGCTTATACCTACGTTCTCCATCACAAGGTTAAGATCTCTATTAGCCTCAAGACATTTATGTGTATGGAATCGTGGTAAATGATTATCTTAATTATCAGAGAACCTATGTTTTACGGCAGTCTGCTCAGTCCTGCCCTGTGGAATCCTATGTATTCTGGAATTAGAACTCAGAACTAGAGTTGCCTAGATCAATGGAGAAGCCTCAATTACTGGTTATGGAACAAGAAAGGGCAAGACCCCAAGGAAAATTCCTATTCTTTCCCATCTCACTGAAAAACACCAGAATTATATATGCTCTGTTTTTTCCTTTGAGGTATGGTTCACCTTTAGGAGACAAAAGGACAAACAATGAAGAAATTAAATTGATATTCCAAAATGTTATTTTATTCCAGAGATAAAGAGTAGTATCTGTATTACATATCCTGGAAAATTTCAGTATTACTGCTCAATGTTAAGGCAAACAATAATAGCACTGCATCAATGGAATTAATAAGCATTCACAGTGTGACTGTATTTTATAATGACAAGAGGAAAGCTGGAAATTCCCATACTTCAAAAGCCTACAATCTTGTTGAAAAAGTAAAGCTATCATAATGACTTATCCTAATGAAAAGATTCTTAAAAATTGACCTGAATGAAGCTCTGGGTTGTGGTACTTCTACGAATTCCCCACTTCACTACAGTCTAGCTCACTTTAATAATTCATTAATACCAAATGAGAGTATTTCTAAATGAAAACTGATGCCCCTGTCTGGGGTGTCTGAGAAACACCAGAGTTTCAAGTAGAATCTATCTTAAACAATTAAGATAACAGCACACAAAAATTCCCATTTTCAGGAAAGAGATAATGCATTTTCTCAGAGCTCAAAACATTTTTTCACTGCCTACCCCATCACCAATCGATCTGGTGTCGGATCTGTTGATCCGACACAACTCCACAAAGAACAAGCAGAGAAAAAATCATTCAAACAAGAAGTGTTATCTCATAGTAACTGTACCAGTAATTCACAGCCTACATTCCAAAACAATGCTATACAAGTTAATTTATTTTGATCATGCTTCTACTGCCATGTTTGCCTAATAACCTAGCAACTGGTGTAATAGGAACTGCAAACTAACCCATGAACTGGTGACTGATGCATGGAAAATAACTTTGTAGCAGGTTATTAGAAGTTTTGCATGCTACCTTGAAACTTGCTCCATTTGTTTAGATGAACATCTCACCTGATGTTTCATTTAAAAGAAACCAAAACCCAATTCCCCAAAGCTAGGGCATCTAAGCTGGATAAACTACACTGGAATACTTACCTAGAGCTGTAAAATCTGAACCAGATTTGAATAGAGCTGAAGCTAGGAGCTGAAACTGTAAAAGAAAAATAGAAGCAAATTAGCTGGCTAAGCATATTAGAGAAAAATAACATACCATTTATTAGCCACTGTATGTCTCTGCACATGTGCTGCCTAAGTCTATTCACCAAATAGTAGCAAGAACACTACATTTAGATTAAAGAATATGCTGATTTTTCTACTGGACTGCTTTACAAAATACTGGACCAAGTCTTGGAATTATTTTATTTTTAAAATTTATTAAAGTATGTACTGTGAACAAACAACAGGTTAACTGAAATTGAGAATATTTAGAACTACGGTATTTAATTTGGGAGAACTATTCATCTTTATCTTGAATGAGGATGCTGGAAAATAGGTGTATTAAAGGAAGAGAGTAGACCAATGAATAGAATCTCAATGGAATTACTTAGCACTTTGTAAGACCTAAGTGGTTGATACCACTGATTCCTCAGGATGTATTTTATACCTGTGCTTCCAGCCTTTAAAACTTCAGGTATCAATCACATTAATATTTGTAAGCCCTGACGAGTGGTCTTTTGAAGGCCAGAAACTGGACAAATATCCTAGAGGAATTATCTAAGCAAGAGTTAGGAAAAAGGGAACAAAAGGAAGAATTTAAAATCTGTGTTTGTTTGTTTTTTAAATATTCTGGGTATTAGTCCTCTGTCATATATATCTATTACAAGTATTATTTAGTCTGTTGCTTTTCTGTTTTTCTAATGTCTTTTATGAAATTTTACTTCTGTTGAAATCCCAACTTATCAAGATTTTTTCAAGATTTATTTATTTATTTGAGAGAGACTGCACGTGGCAGGGTGGGGGGGAGGAGGGAAGGGGAAGAGGGATAGGGAGAGAGAATCCCAAGCAGGCTCCATGCCCAGTGCAGAGCCCAAAGCAGGGCTCAATCTCACAACCCCCAGATCATGAGTCAGACACCTAACCGACTCCCTACCCAGGTGCCCCCATATTTTTTCTTTTATGGTTCTTTTTTTATGGTTCTTTTATGGTTACTGCCTTTGTCATGTCCAAGAAATCTCTGTCTATCCCAAGGTTGTAAAGATGTTTTCTTCTTGAAGCTTTATTGTTTTAGGTATTATATTTAGGTCCATTTTAAATCAGTTTTTGTGTGAGACAGGGGTTGAGATATCATATCATTTGTTAAAAAGACTTACCAATTCCCCATTGGACTTGGCATCCTGGTCAAAAAAATCAACTGACCACATACATGTGGGTCTACTTCTGAACTCTGTTCTGTTCTACTGATCTATTTGTCTATCCCTAAGCCAGTACCACAGTACCACTTGATTATTGTGGCTTATACAGAACCCTGAAATCAGGTGGTATGAAACCTCTAACTTTTTCTGTTTTCAAGAGTGTTTTGACTTGTTCAGGGCCTCTGCTTTTCCATATAAATTTTAGAATCAGTTTGCCTATTTTTTTCAACAACAACAACGAAATCCAAACTTGCCATAATAGTGATAGGGACTACATTAAATTAAAAACCAATTTGGGGAGAATGGGCATCTTAACAAATCTTAGTCTTTCAATCCATAAAATGTGGTATCTCTCTCCATTTATTTCTTACAACAGACTTATTACTACATATTTATTGTGGCATTAATATAAACAGGTTTAAAATTTTCGTTTTCTAATTGTTCATTGCTAATATAAAAATAATTGTTTTTTTTTTCTACTGACCTTGTATTCTGTAATCTTGCTAAATTTACTTATCTTAGTATTATTGTTTTGTAGATTACATGGAGTTTTCCATGTACACAATAATGTGATCTACACACAATTTTCCTTTCCAATCCATATGCTGTTTATTTCTTTTTCTCATGGCACTAGCTACAACTTCTGGCACAATGCTGAATAGAGGGTGTCTACTGACAGCAGACATCCTTTCCTTGTCATAATCTTTAGGGAAAGAGTTTTACAATTAAGTATATTACTAGTTGTTATATTTTTCATAGATGCCCTGTATGAGATTTAGGAAGTTTCTTTTCATTTCTAGTTTGCTAAGAATTTTTTTTTTTTTAAATCATGAATGGGTTTTTAATCATGTCAAATGCTTATTCTTCACTTATTGAGATGATCTGTGGTTTTCCTCCTTTATTCTGTCAGGGTGGTGTATCACTGATTCTCAAATGTTAAACCAACCTTAAGTTCCTAGAATAAACCCTCACTTGGTCATTGTGCATTAACCTTTTTATATATTGCTGGATTCAAGTAACTAAAATTTTATTAAGAATTTTGCATCTACATTCACAAGAGGTCTATAATTTTCTCTGCTTGTACTATTTTTATTGGGTTTTTACTGAGAAAGCCATTTAGAACTACAGTTTTGTTAGAAAGTTTTCAATTACAAATTCAGTCTATGTCTGTAATTGATACAGAGTTCCTTAAGATTTTCTAATTCTTCCTGTGTCTGTTCTGCTGTGTCTTCTAAGGAATTTGTCCATTTCATCAAGTAGCTGAATTTGTTGACAGCTGTTCATAATACTTCCTTATTCCCTTTTTATGTATCTATAGGGTCCATAATGATGCTGACAATTTATATTTTCACTATTTTGTTCTTTGTAAGTCTTGCTATTTTATTCACATTTTCAAAGAACCAACTTTTCACTTTTTACATTGTTTTCTATTGTTTCCTATTTCACTAATTTCCTATCTTCTACTTATTTGAGGGTTAATTTGTTCCTCTTTTCTGACTTCTAAGGTGAAAGATAAACCCACTGGTTCTACATACAAAAGGACAGGGTGAAAACTATTGTTTTAATAATCGGATTAAGTGGAACTGATATGTACTGGTCTGATACGTACAACAGGTACCAAGTGATATTACATAATCTGAATAAAGCCAGACATGAATATCCAACTATCACCTCAACGTATAAGGTTGGCTGCTCCACAGGCATCTCAAACTGGAGATATCCAACATTATACACCTGATCCCAGTCAGGAGCCCCCATCTATGACCACAAACTGGGTCTACCCAGGCACTTCTCATTTCAGTTGATAACAGCTCCATATACTCAGGCTAATAACTCTGGAGTCATTTCTTTCAAACCCTACATCCCATCGATCATAAAATTCTGTTGGTATTACTTTTTTTTAAGTTTTATTTAAATTCCAGTTAGTTAACATACAGTGTAATATTAGTTTCAGGTGTACAATATAGTGATTCAACACTCCCATACATCACCCAGTGCTCACCACAATGAGTGCATTCCCTCATTCCCATCACCTATTTAACCCCAACCCCCCCACCTCCTGGTAACCATCAGTTTGTTCTCTATAGTTAAGAGTCTGTTTGGGGCACCTGGCTGGCTCAGTCGGTAGAGCGTGCGACTCTAGAGTTGGGGTTGTGTGTTTGAGGCCCACGCTGAGTGTAGAGAGTACTTAAAAAAGTCTGTTTCTTGGTTTGCCTCTTTTTTTTTTTCCCTCTTTGCTCATTTGTTTTGTTTCTTAAATTCCACATGAGTGAAATCATATGGTATTTGTCTTTCTCTGACTTATTTCATTTAGCGTAATACTCTCTAGCTCCATCCATGTTGTTGCAAATGACAAGATTTCATTCTTTTTTATGGCTGAGTAATATTCAGGTGTGTGTGTGTGCGCTGATGGATACTTGGGCTATTTCCATAATTTGGCTATTGTAGATAATGCTGCTATAAACATCAAAGTACACGTATCCCTTTGAATTAGTGTTTTTGTATTTTTTGGGTAAATACCTAGTAGTGCAATTGCTGGATCGTGTGGTAGTTCTATTTTTAACTTTTTGAGGAACTTCCCTACTGTTTTCCATAGTGGCTGTACCAGATTGCATTCCCACTGTTGGTTCTACTTTTAATATACATTGAGAATCTGATCTACTTTACTTCTATTTCTACTGCTGCTACTTTGGTGTGCACTACAATAATCCCTTGCTTAGATTTCTACAATCTCTTTTATAGGTCTCTCCGCCTCCATTCTTACTCTCCCCTTTAGTCTATTCTCAATACAGCAATCCGAGTGATCTTAGATTTTAGTGATCTTAAGTCAGGTAAGACATAAAGCAGATCACATCACTCCTCTGCGTAATACCCTGACCTGGCTACTTATTCATTTAAAGTAATAACCAAAGTCCTAACACTGACTTAGGAAGTTATTCACAATCTGATCTCCCAATCCCAATCTCTGACCTCATCTGTGACTACTCCCATCATTCTTACCTCTACTCCAGCCACAGTGGCCTCCTGGCTGTTCTCCTAAACAAAGCCAGGATGCTCCCACCCTCGGGTCTTTGTTCTAACCCTCCCTTTGCCAGGAATTACCTTCCCCAAATTATCTACTTACATCACTTCCTCACACCCTTCAAGTCTTTGTGTACATACCATTTCTAAATGAGGCCTATTAAGAGCATCCTATTAATACTGCAACTGTCCAATTTTCACCCCTTCTAATTCTGATCTCTCTTTACCCTTCTTATCTCTCTTTAATTTTCCCATAATACCTATCATTACTAATGTACTACATAATTTGCTTATTTAATATGTTTATCATCTTTCACCACTAGTAATAAGTACCACCCAGGCAGGTATTTTGCTTGGTCCACCAATATATTTCCTGTGCCTAGAAAAATGCCTGGCATATTGTAGGGACTCAATACACATCTGTTAAATGAATGACACCAGTACTTTGGAAGCTCAGCAGAAATGTAATTAATACAAAATGTGTAATACTGGCTCAAAACTTGTTTTTCTCATTCCTTCTCTATTACAGAATCTTCTCTGAAAATGGCAGAATTAATTTAGGCAACCTTGTCTCGGGCCTTTTCTAGAAAAAAAAATATTTTCATAGGGTTTATCAGCAGCTCACTGCCAATTTAGATTCCACATTCTGGAGACTGGACGAAAGCAAAAAATCATTATTTGGCATACAGCTGGTAGTCCATCATCATTTTTCCAATAATAGGCACAATGATGATGATCATCATGATAACCGGCCTCCCAAAAAACAGAAAAATCTAAAAACCGCTTCTAGTTGCTGATACAATCATTTAATATAATAAATTTTGTAAAATATACCGAGAGAACAAAAACCAGCAGTAAACAATAGTAAGGTCTTTTTTGATAAGTGGAATGATATCTTATAAGGAAAGTGAAGATCTATATGCCTTACTAACAAATACTCTAAGTATATATCCTAGAACTGTCACCAAAGGATTTCTTTTCCCAAAACAAAATCCATTTACACATTTTTAAACAAAATAATAATCTTACAGACCAGTAATCCTCAATGTCAGCAGTGTTTTCTGTTACATAAGGGCAGATGAGAGACTCTTAGGGTGAGGGTATTGTTTTGAAAAAGTCTCTGAAGCAATTCTGATGCTGACACACACACGCACAGCACCATTTTAACTAACTTCTATTAGGGCTAAACAACTCTTGATACATAAAGCTTTTAAAAAATGGAAGTCTGTGGCCTACAAAATCATAATTTCAAACTACAGAGGAGAGGAGAAAAAGAGAAACCTGCTACCAAAATTTTTAAAATGGCTCTGTTTGAACTTGAGATACCTCCCTGTCCTGGTTTTTCCCATTAGCTTAGCTTTAAGAACAAACTGTCTGTTTTCTTTGGCCTACTTGCAGTTCACACAGCTGAATTTATTTACTTTGCAATATTTTGTTTTGGTTTGGTTTTAAAAAATAAGAGAAAAATGAATGTTCCCGGGTTAGAGCCATTTTAGACAGACTATGGAGAAAACACAAGGAAATCTATTTATAACTTTCAAATGCATGGTCTAATAAAAATGACAACTATGTTCAGTTATAAGCCATAACAGATGAAACCAAACATATTCTGCTACTTGGCAAAACTATGACAGTTTCACCATTTCAATAGTATCATGAATTGATTGAAGACTCAAGGAGAGACAATTAACTGTCCCCCTTCGGAGGGGGGGAGGGTGGTGGTTCTAAAACTGATTCTCCTCCTAGGGAAGGGTTATAACCAAAACTGACTAAGAGCAATCAGACTTATTTCACAGTAGGCAACTATGAAAGAGAATCTCTTTGTTTTGGTGCCAAGGAAATGCAGGCTCTACTGCTGGAAAGTACAACGAACCTGGTACCTGAAAGTGACTTGACATTAAATCTGAAACCTGTGTCATCGCTGAACAAGAAAAAAGCACTGCTTGATGTTGCTATTGCAAAGCCAAAGCAAAGCAACAGAACAGGGAAATAGATAGTAGGGACAGAACCATATATCATCAGTACCAATTCTGTGAGTGGAAGGTAAAATGGATTGCAGTTCAGATGTTGCTAGATGAACTATGCACAAGGATGCTTGGCAAAAGTTAAAAGTGACAAAAGGAATCTCAGCGGTTAGTAGGAAGACAGGCTCTCAGACTATGAAACCCACTGCAGGTGTATTCACACACTGTAGATAAGCAAATATGCCCTAAAAATATTACATCTTCTCTTCTCCCTCTAGTATTAGTAAGAAAAAAAACCCTGAAAAGTAATTATCTGCTACTAATTTCTCAAGGTCAGGGACTCCTGATGAAAGAAGTCAGTAGACTGTAGTTGAACTATTCTGCTATGACATTCATATAACTAAATACCAAGGTAGCAGGGATTCTACTCCTACCAACCTCTCTTCACTTTCTTCTTCTAAAAGAGGAGAGTTTTCTTTCTTCTCTTACGGGATTTTGGAGTATCAAGAGAAAAGTTTATATTGAGCCATTATGTAATCCTTAAGTGAAAGAAGCATGGGACTACGGAAGTAAAAATTTCTATTTCCTTCCCAACACACAAAACTAATGTCTAGGCTAAAACTTTAAACCTGAGAATCCTTTTCTGAAAGGATCAAGGGTTTTTTTGTGTGACCTGAACCTTTTATCATCACATGAAAGCAAGCCTATTCAATTTTTATTTCATCTGCTCTGGGCTACTTTAAAAATTATTAGTGTCATCATATTTTCCTCATTTCCTTTAAACATCTAAGAGAAAAAACAGCAAGTTTTTACCTCTTTTGTCTCTTCTGGGTCTGAATGATCCACAGTTATATAAAGATCGTTTTGTAAATATTTCAGAGCACTAAGGGGGTCCATTTGGGCCTTTTCTTCAAACCTAGAAAATGTAAACAAGAATAATAATTGTCTGGAGTTATGAGAAAACATCAGAAATGTCATTCAGACCTGCAGTGGAATACTCTCTGTCTGAGGAGTCACTGCGGGTATCTAACAAAAACCTGTGTTTGGGAATCCAGAAGTGCGAACACTGCCCTGCAGAAGTAATGATAATGCCAGGTGGGCACAGGCGTCACGGTGCTAGAGACGGGGGGGAGCACTTCCTTCCCTCCTCTAAAACTGCAAGCTAAGATTAAATCAACTATGAAACATAGTGAACATGTCAAATATTTTACATAACAAAACTGCAAAAGAGCTGAATATGTTTCATAAAAAACAAGTAGAGCTAAAATAAAAATACCTGGTTAGATCTGTGTAATATACATTCCACCAGAGGTGCCTAACGGGATACTTCAGAAACAGAAATGAGTATAGTTTCTTTTCTATCATTAACACTGATGGAAAAAATATATATTTTAAAGAATTTTATTTTATTTTATTCATTTGAGACAGAGATACAGAGTGAGAGAGAGAACAGGAGCAGTGGGGAGAGGCAGAGGAAGAGAGAGAAGCAGACTCCCTGCTGAGCAGGGAGCCCGATGTGGGGCTCGATCCCAGGACCTGGAGATCATGACCTGAGCCGAAGGCAGACGCTTAACCGACTGAGCCACCCAGGCGCCCCTGAAAAAAATATATATTTTAAATTGATTAAATATTTTTAATAAGATTTCCTGTCTCAGTCAATAACGAAAACAACTGTAGCAATTACTTATCAAGCGTGTTATGTGCTAGACACTGTATTGAGTATTTTACATATATTACTGCATTTACCCCCACTCTGATGACAATATACTTTATCATTTTTTACAGATGAGAAACTGAGGCTCAGAATGAACTCGGCCAAGATAAGAGCTAAAAAATGGCAGAAGTAGAATCAAACACAGATCCATCTGATTCCAAAGCTGAAAAGAAAACAATGAGTTAGTTCTCTAACAGAAAAAAAAAATCTGCTTGGGACTGTTTATCTATTTAAATCTTTTGTTATGGCATAATTATATATGGATTTATTTGTAATAAGTTGGTATGCTTTTCAAAATATTGTACAGAGAGAAAGAAAAGAAGACATTTAATTTCACTTGGGAAAGGAAAATAATGAGCCTTTCACAATGGTGTTCAGGCTGATGGCATCAATAATTTCCTGTCTTTAGAGCTAATCTCAGAGATAGAGTACCTGTATTTCAAGCAGGGCAAAGACTAGCAAAATTTTACAGCTCTGTTGTATCAGATAGTACCAGGCCTGTCAGCTAGCCTTCAAGCCCTCAGATGAGAGAGCTCCTTAGGCAGAGGTCATGTTACTCTACCATCTTGTCCAAAATGGGTTAGACCAGTTTTGGTACCTGAGACAAAAGCAATCCTCTGAAGCTTGATCAGCAGTTTATAAAGTAGCCTGGCAGAATTATTCCCAATAGGGGTACTCTCCCCAGGGAGCCCTCTCTAAGAAGATACTCTCTGAGAGAATCTGAATGTGAGATACACAAGGACATAAAAGACACACAAAACATAGAAGTCAGTAAATAGAACACATGAGATGGTAGGTAGATTCCTTCCCGTCCTATCCCTCTTTTCTTTCCTTTCTTCCTATCTATCTACCTACTTATTTACCAAAGCCACACGTACCTATCTAGCTGTCTATCTGTCTTTGGAAGCTATGAGATTGAGGGAAAGCAGAATTTGGAATAATCAGCAGAACAGGAGAAGCAGGTAAAAAGCAGCAGAAAGACAGAGGTTCAGTTATAAGGAAAGCTACTATAGTGACTCCTTGCTAGTAGAATTGTTCTAAAACCCTAAATAATTCTTCAGTAGGCCCATGGGCGCCTGGGTGGCTCAGTTGGTTAGGCGACTGCCTTCGGCTCAGGTCATGATCCTGGAGTCCCGGGATCGAGT